GATTAGAATAAACAGCCTAAACAAGTAAACAGGAAGGCCAAAACTAAACTTTAGAGGCAAGCCTCAATAAATAAGCCAAATGATTTATCCAGAATAAATTGAAATGCCATTGGTTTAATTTAGTGTACTGGGAGAAAGTTTAAATCTGGAACACTCCCATTGAGTAATTCCTAGACTTACAGCACAGTGCGCAGAAGAGTGATCGTTAGCCACTTCCAGGTCATCAAATCAATGTAGGTCAAATTTGATTGAATTAGTAGAAGCGCAGCCTCAACAACAGGCTTAGCATAATTTTCTACATCGCAAATTGCGAGGTAAAAGACTATTCCCTGGTAGCCGGGCATGGCTGAAACTATTGCCTGGCTTTTAACCAATCAAATGCCTGGAATCTATGTAGTATATAAACAATATGTCCATACATACACACACACATACATACATCACACATCTGTATATATATATATATGTATACTGTATACGTACACACATAAATATAAACATACACACAAATACATTATATAATATGTGTATATATATGTATATATATAAATAAATTATTATTATTATTGATATAAAATTAAACCTTCATAGCTTTATAACTAGGCAATTAGACCATTGATTCAGTTGAGGGTCCATTGACTAATCATGCTTGGAATTGGGCTATAAGTTCTAGATCTGCAATTGTTACTCCAAAAAAAAAAAAATCAGATACCCGCATCACAAATTATTTGCACTACGGAGACATCTGCCATTAGACTTAAACTAAGTGGATACACTCATCCCATTGCAATTAAAGAGGCAAACAATTTAACTGTATAAAAGTTACACAGTTTCAGAGCAAGTTTATAGTTCAAAAATTGAGGTCCTAAAATAATTGGATTCATGGAGAGTGAGACCAGAATTCCACACAGAGGCAGCATATTCAATAATATGCCTAACATATCCAGTGTAGATAGTTAAGAGGTCAACAATTGGAATTCGGAAGCACTTATGAACTTTCAACATTATAAAATCTACCACTGGCCTTACTAAGCACCTCCATTTAAGATTTGAACTGATGTTAAAAATTACTGTACTGTATTTTAAAATGTGTTGATTCATACTAAACAAAAGCTTTATTGCAGTTAGTAAAGTCACATGTTAGGGACGATCCGAATGTAAGATGAACGTGACTTCAAAATATATACCGTAAATACAGTATACGGTATATTACAAGTTAAGGGTATTTAATATACTATTATTTCGACCTGGCCCTTTTGACATCTATCTGGTTTATGTCTGAGGCTTGATTTAGTGAGGTGACCTCTTCTAAATCAACACAAATCAAGCCCGGGTCATTCTTCGCTAATGTGCCATTTTAGAGGTTTCGATATCATGAAAAAAAAAGTTTAACATTTGTAATTCTTTTATTACACATGTCACCATTATGCCATATAACAACTATAATAAACATTCGGCACGATATATAATTAGGGCATTTTAAACGTTTATTTAAAGCGTTCAATTTTCAGTGCTGTAACATAGCAAATATTGCAAGAATCATCTCCATCACATTTTTGTGACAGAGATGATGCTTATACACATAGATGTGAATCTTAGTAAATTTCAAAGATAGATTGTATTTAAATATAGGATAATTCACATTGAACAAACAGGTTTCTAAGTTCAACGTCGTATCAATTACTATTTTTATTTCATAGCCGTTTTTGAGAAAAGAAAACATCAAGAAATCATCTCCATCACACTTTGTTGTGACGGAAATGATGATATACTCATAAATGTAAAACTTAATAAATTTAAAAGATCGATTATATTATTTAAATATAGAAAAATAAATATTGAGCAAAAAGATTTCTAACAACAAAAAACCAGATCAATTAAAATTTTCATTATATATTCTTTTTTGAGGAAAGAAAACATCAAGAAGTCATCTCCATCACAGTAAAATTGTGATGGAGATGACTGTGACGGAGATGAGGAATTAAACTTGTTAGATCATATAGTGCCATATGCAGTGTGTTACAGGGTGAATGTCATGTGTACTTTGAAAATGACACAGTCCTGATCGTATATATAATTATTTTTTTTCTAAAAAAATATTAAATAAAGCATACTTTGAAGTGTTCGGAGATGATGCTGAATAAAGGTACTTTTCTGGTTGTTATTAGAAATGCATGAATTCTTCATCTATAGGTGGTTTAACTGTACAGAATGGACTGTTTCTTACTGTATGGTCCCCTTCAACCAAAATGGTTTGATCCATAACTTGTTATGTGATTTTGCTAACAGCTATAATGGAATTAAAAGTATTGTGACGGAGATGATGACAATTCAGGGACAAACTTTTTTAGTCTAAAAAAGTCAAATTTTAATATTTATTCTATTGATGTCATTTTTAATTTTAGATTTGTAAGACATCTATTGTATTCACCTTTGTGTGGTACGCTTATTTATTTAAGCTATTTATTTTACAAATGATGACATTAGGAATTCTTAAAAGAAATCCAATCGGGACATGCATAGTGCGCGACTTTGGAGGCTTTTTGTTGAAAAATAAACAGCATGCTTGATTACTTTTAAAATATTTAACAACTTATTTCATTAACAAATATGTTCAAGATTGCATTAACGCAACAAAAATAAAATTTCCTTTAATATTTTTAATTTTATACTACATTAAAAAAGAGGGACGGGAAAATGGCACTTTACTGAAGAATGACCCGCCCATTTTCTATTCTACAAGGAACAAAACGCATGTTTCCTGTTCAAAAGTGCATTCCAAATATTTAAGATTGTGATTGAATTTAGTGTCATTCAAAAGAAAGTAGATAATATTTTAATATTTTCATAATCCATGCAAAACCCATAGGAAGTTTAACTGTAGCCAACCATATGCAATATTCTTGGCTTTTCTTGTGCTTAACGGCGTGTGTGGGGGCATGCCAACTCAGATGCGACTAAGTTTTCAATATGTAGACCCTTCTACATTGAAGGTCATGTTAAACTCCCTTCGGCCACCGCTAACCCTATTAAGGTTCTTATTACAAAGTGTTTATTCTGAAGGCTAAAAGTCGACTTGCCTATGCACCCTAATATGCTGCGCCCTAATAAACTATAATCATTACAAAAAAAATAGGAGGCCTATATTACTACTTTATATTATGTCTATGGCCTAAGCATCTCTTTCTGTATGGTCTAAGTATGCAAAGTACTACAGTAAACATCAATTATTACTACTCATGTGATAAATTGAAATAGAAACAAAACAAAATCACAGTATAAATACCACCCTAGCACTGCTTTCAGGATTAGCAAATAATACAACCTGAAGAGATGATCCATGCGACCCATCAACATATCCGTGGGTCGCGAACAATACTGAAAAGGTGATCTACAGTACAACAACGCTCGACAACCGGCCTAGCCTAGCCTATACCACCTGGTTCGACCTAAACTATTGCCTTAAAACGTAGCTGTACTCTACTTACATTCAAACTCGGTGTCTTGAAATATTCCACGTTCATTATTGAACAAAATTGTAGATTTCAAAGCAATTTATAAACGTTTTCAAATGTTGTTGCCTTTCTTGGAAAACAACCCACGACAATCCGTATTATAATAAAGATTACATGTGTAAATAGCAAACATGTTACCAAAAAAGCGCTCCTAGAACAGGATTGCTAGCGTCTCATCTCGGTTTTTTTGGTAGAGCCGAACGGCGATCGGAGTATTGTACGTTTGTGCCAAAAATAACAAACAAACAAACAAAAAAAGAAAAAAAAAACAAACATTAAAAATTCAATGACTCTCATTTAAAGGGATTAAAGAAATCAACTTCTTCCAACTAAAAAAAATCATTAATTCACTACATTTGACTACAAAAACTGGCTTAGGATATGTTTAATGGCGAGGAAGACAGGAGTACATAAATATATGATCAAATACATTTTAGTTGTGAGGTTCCACGTGTGTTTCGTTACGATAAAAAAAGAATATATGAAACGAATACCATGTATAGACTTCAGAAACACTTTATTGGAGAAAACCAAAACTTCGACCTATCCTCAGGTCTTGGTACCTTGATAAAGACCTGAGGATTCAGGGGCGGATTTAGGTGGGGGGGCCGGCCCGGCCCCGGCCCCCCCTTTTGGGAGGTAAAAAAAGAAAAAAGAAAGAAAAAAAGAAAGAAAAAGAAAAAAAATGATAGCCCAGAACGCCTCAAATGTTATTTTCGGGCGTCTAGAACACAAAAATTTCGCGGGGGCATGCCCCCGGACCCCCTAGGAC